CTGCTAATATTACGAATGTATTAGTACTACTAATACTACTGCTGCTACTACTACTACTACTACTACTACTACTACGACTACTACTACTACTACTACTACTACTACTACTACTACTACTACTACTACTACGACTACGACTACGACGACTACTACTACTACTACTACTACTACTACTACTACTACTACTACTACTACCAGTGCTAGTGCTACTACTACAATTTCTTGGGCTACTGCTTCTACGAATACTGCTGTCATTACTACTACTAGTGATACACCTCAATTGCTATGTCGATTACCACTACTCATACCCATACTACAGATACCTCAGGGGTTCTGAAGGGTTCCATCGGGTTTCTTAGTAACACCCTAGGGATATTGAAGGAATCCCTAATGATACCTTAGGGATGCTTAAAGAGTGACCAAGGATACCTACGGGATTCTTGAGGATTCTATAAGGATACCTTAGGGCTTCTTCAGGATTCCCTAAGGAGACAGTAAGGATTCTTAAGGATCCCCCAGGGATTCTAAAGGATGCCCTGAGGATTCCCAAAGGATTCCTTCTGGATTCCTAAGGATTCCCAAAGGATTCCCTAGGGATTCTTTTTTCGGATTCCCATGAGGATCCTGAAGGATTCCTGAAGGGTTTCCTAGGGACTCTGAAGAATTCCCTGGGGTCCCTAAGGATTCCCTGAGGTTTCCCTATAGATTCTTGGGGATTCCTTAGGGTTTCTCAAAGATTCCCTAAGGAATCCCACGGATTCCTGAAGGATTCCTTAAGGATCCCCTTCGGAATTTTCATTTCTGATGGATCCTTATGAATTCCTTGAGGATTCCAGGATTCTTATGGATTCCCGAAGGAGTCCCTAGGGATTCTTCCAGATTCCCTAAGGAGGATTCCTTAGGGATTCTGAAGGATGCCCCAGGGGTTCTTAAGGATTCCTTCTAAGGATTTCTCACGGATTCTCATGGGTTCCCAGAGGATACCCGGAGGATCCCGCAGGGTTTCTTAATGAGTCCCTAAAGATTCCGCAAGGATTCCTTAAGGAGTCCCACCGGATTCTTCAAGGATTCTTAAGGATTCCCTTGGGACTCCCTGGGGGATCTTAAGGATTCCGGAAGGATTCTTAAGGATTCCCTAGGGATGCTTAAGGATTCCCTAGGGACTCCCTAGGGAATCTTGAGGATTCCTGAAGGATTCGTAAGGATTCCTTAGGGATTTCTTTCGGATTCTTCAGGGATTCGTAAGGTTTCCTTAGGAATTCTTCAGGATCCCCTAAGGGTTCCCAAGGATTCTTTAGGGATTCCCAAGAATTCCGGAAGGATTCCTGAAGGATTCCCAGAAAGGATTCCTGAGGGATGCTTCCCAGGGAGTCTTAAGGATTCCCTAGGGGTTCTGAAGGATTCCTGAGGGATTCTTAAGGATGCCCTGAGGACCCCCTAGGGATTCTTCAGGATTCAGTAGGCATTCCCTGTGGATTATTGAAGATTCTTTGGAGATTCTGAAGGATTCCTGAAGGATTCTTCAGGATTCCGCAAGGATCCCTTTCGGATCCCTGAGGGACTCTTGAGGATCCCCTAAGGATTCCCCGAGGATCCCCGAGGGATTCGTGAGGATTCCCTAAGGATCCCCGAGGGGTTCTTTCAGGATTCGTTAAAGATTCCCGAAGGATTCCCTAGGGATTCCTTCGGGATTCCCTAAGGATTCCCTAGAGATTCCTTCTGGATTCTTAAGGATTCCCCAGGGATTCCCTGGGGATTCTTATGGAGTTCCTAGGGATTCTTGTGGATCCCCTAAGGATTCTGAAGGATTCCCTAAGGAATCCTGAGGGATTCTTAAGAATTCCCTAAGGATTTCCTAAGGATTCTTAAGGATTCCCTAAGGATTCCCTGGGGATTCTCAAGGATGCCTTTTGGATTCCCTAGGATGTTGTGTTGTGTTGTTCGCCCTCCCCCCCCCCTTCGGACTGACCGGGGGGGCAGTGCCGGCCTCCTCCACTGTGGTGGAACCGGCGGATCCGCTCCCGCACCCCGGGGGGGCCATGCCGGCCTTAACCTTGTTGTTGTCGTTGGTGTTGGTGTTGTTGTTGCTGTTGTTGTTGAATTTTCATTTTTCTGAAAAATAATTATTGCTGATCCCCCCCCCACCGGTGCATATTGTTTTTCTCAATCAAAGTGTGCCCCTCGACGCTCGCACCCTGTTTTTTGACAGGGAAAGTCTTCCTGCTCAAACTGGCCCCCTGCCCCCGGGTTACAACAACAACGGCTCCCGCTTGAGACTTCCTTACAATTTAGCCAGGACCCCCGCTCCCGCCCAAGACTTCCTGTCATTTTATTCAGGAATCGCGCTCTCGCTTGGGACTTCCTTAGAATGTATTCAGGAATCGTTCTCCCGGCGCTCTGGAGTCGCGCTCTCGCTGGAGACTTGCTTGCAACTTACTGATGAATGGCCTTGCGTTGGATTTTTTGCAATTTGCCCAAGCGCCGCGCTCCCGACACCCAGGCACCCAGGAGTCACGCCCGTTGTGGCCCCATGTGCATGCCCTTCGTGGCCCCGCTGTCGCCATTTGTGTCCCCCGCGCTGTCCTACGTGGCCCAGTTGCTACCCTGAGTGGCCCCATACTGTAGTTGCCTTCTGTGGCCCCGCATTATCTGCACTTCGTGGCCCCCGCTCGTTCGCGCTCTTCGTGGCACCATACGCATTCCCTTCGTGTCCCGCTGTCGCTCTTCGTGGCCTACTTCGTGCCCTTCGTGGCCCTGCTGTCGTTCTCTCTCGCTCTCGCTTTCGCTCGTCGTCGCCGTCGTCGTCGTCGTCGTCGCCGTCGTTTTCGACGTCGTCGTCGTCGTCGCCGTCGTCGTCGTCGTCGTGGTCGGCCCCCTGTCCGTCCCTCTTGGGGTCAGGTCGACGGTCCGCGGCCGCCCCGCCGATCAGCGCTGCCGCTGGCCAGGCCGACGGTCCGCGGCCGCCCCGCCGCTTGCCGGGGCCCGGCCTGCAGGGAAGAAAGGTATACCCTCCAAAAGGGGTTCGATCGAAGATGAAGAGGGCGGGTATCGAGGGTTTGGGAAATACGCGTTATTGGACACTCGAGCATATAAGGGCGAACAGTCTTAAAATTGTTGTTGTTGATGCTGCTGCTGTTGTTGTTGTTGTTGTTGGTGGTGTTGGTGTTGTTGTTGTTGTTGTTGATGCTGCTGCTGCTGCTGCTGTTGTTGTTGTTGTTGTTGTTGTTGTTGTTGTTGTTGTTGTTGTTGTTGTTGTTGTTGTTGTTGTTGTTGTTGTTTGTTGCGGGGGGGGGACCCGGGGCTCGGGGACGATTCCTGTGCCCGCCTGGAGGAGAGCGCTGGAGGAGCCCGAGCGCCGGGGCCCAGGGAAGGTCCCTGTCCTTGTTGATGTTTTTGCTGCTGCTGCTGCTGCTGTTGGTGTTGTTGTTTCTTGTGCCTTGTTTGTTGTTAGTTGTCGTCATCCCCCCGCGACCTGGCCCGCGACCCACCCGCGACCCACCCGCGACCCTCCCGCGACCCGGCCCGCGACCCACCCGCGACCAACCCGCGACCAACCCCACGACCGGCCCGCGACCCACCCACGACCCACCCGCGACCCACCCGCAACCCACCCGCGATTTACCCGCAACCCGGCCCGCGACCCACCCGCGACCCGCTTGCGACCCACCCGCGACCCACCCGTCACTCACCCCACGACCCACCCACATTGCTTCAACCGAAAGGATCGGCGCGTCCGGCGAGCTGGTTTTTGAAAATTAGGCGTCTGCGGCGGGCTTCTTCAGAGCCTCGCAGATGCCCCACGTCGTGCCGCCCCCTCACTCTTATCCGCAATTGCGTGGTGCTACGTGCATACATTTCTATATATACATATGTTTATAATTATTTATAAACATACATACACATGCATGGATACGTACATACATGCATGCATGCATGCATACATACATGTATATACATATGCATACACACACGCAAACGCACAAGCAAACATACATACATGTATGTATGCACACATACATACTTACATACATGCATGAACATACACATACATACATACATACAAACATACATACATACATACATACATACATACGTTCGTACGCACGCACGTTCGTACAAACGTATATGCATACATGCATGCACATACATGCATACATGCATCTGTGCATACATACATGCATGGGCACAGGCATACAGGCATGCATGCATATCTACTTACTTATATACTTACTTCCTCGTATGAATACAGACAGGCAGACAGACAGACAGACAGACAGGCATGCAAACATGCATGTGTATATAGATATTGCAGACATACGCGTATATAGACGTGTACGTATATACAAATATAGATCGAACACACGCAACGGAAATCAGGGGAAGGCGATCGCACGGACGCGCGCTTGGCGCGCCCAACATTCGCAGTCGAGTCTTCCCTCGCGCTCGCACGGCGTGAGCGCTGGGGCGCTTGGCGTGCAGATGGCGCATAGGGTCAGCGTCCAGGCGCAGTGGCAGGAGTTGCGGCGTGATGGCGAGAAGATCAGCAGAGGGGGGGCTGTTCTGTAAGGGTGGATTTGGCCCAGAACTGTTGCTGGGAGAGGCAGGAGAGGCCGGTGGAGAAGGCGGGTTTGGGCATGGAGGTGGAGGAAGACGAGAAGGATCATCACAAGCAGAAGGAGCCTGCGGAGGAGGAGAAGGAGGAGGAGTAATACATGGCACCGAGGACGACGAGGAGAGTAGGAAAGAGGATGACGAAGGAGGAGGAGGAACAGGAGGAGGAGGGGGAGGAGGAGGAGGAGGAGGAGCAGCAGCGGGAGGAAACAGAGGCAGGGGACACGTTGGAGCAGGAGGAGGAGGAGGAGGAGGAGGAGGAGGAGTGGGATGCAGAGGACAAGGAGGAAGAGGAGGAGGACGAGGAGGAGGGGGACGAGGAGGGACGGGCGGGAGGGACAAAGAGCCGACGGGGAGGGAAGCGGCTCGGCGAGGGACGAGGGAGAGAGGTCCAGACGAACTACAGCGACTTCAGGCTCTGCGGCCCCTGCTCCGACAAGGAGCACGGCGCCCGGCCTGGGCAGCCCCCGCCCTCTCTCCTTTTGCACCCCCTCCCGCCCGTGACGAGAAGCAGGTGTGCACACGACGACGCGCAAGTGACGTAGGCCCAGACATCTGACTGCTCCAACTGTTCCGATGCTTGGGCAGGGGAGGTCCGACCACTTCCCTGGGGCGGGCTGTTCGTCCTGGGTCGTTTTGTTGACGCTCCCGAGGCCAGGCGAGGGCCCCCAGAGGCGGAAAGCTGGCAAACACCGCCCTTTTCATTTTGTTGGAGCGTCGGATCTCTGGGGACGAGAAAGGCTCTATGATGATGTTCTTCCCGTTGTCCTCTATGCCGCTACCCGCTGTGCCGTTGCCCTCCTGCATCCCCCCTCCCCCAGCTCCAGACTGGATGGGGAAGGGGTGCCGTCGGCCTTCAAAGAGCTTGACAAGGAACCGCCTTCCTTGCCCCACTCCTCTTCTCCACTCCTCCTCCTCCTCCTCCTCCTCCTCCTCCTCCTCCTCCTCCTCCTCCTCCTCCTCCTCAGCCTCCTCCTCTTCCTCCTCCTCCGTGGAAGCAAAGCTCTCCCTGCTCCACTTCCTTCCTCCGGACGGGGCTAGGACGAGGATGAATCCGTTCCAGAGCGTTCTGGAGCGCTCTCACAGCGTTCCGGAACGCTCTGAGAACGCATCGGCGCCCGAGACATCTTCCAGAGCCGCCAGATCTCAGAGATTCTCGATGAACCCTCACCCGATGTTATCATCGTCCTGGCTTCGTCTCATTTCCCTCCCCCCCTTTCCCCTTTCCTCCCCCCTTCCCCTCCTCCCTCCTCCTCCTCCTCCTCCTCCTCTTCCTCCTCCACCTGCCGCTGCGCATGGGCTGGCCCCTTTGGTTTTCTGGGGCACCATGCTCCTTATGACCCTGCCAAGCACTTCGGCTTCCAGTGGCAGGAGGAAGCCCGTCGCTGTGTTGATGCGCAGCACGATCATTGGACCATTGTCATGGAGCGCGCAGTACTGTTGCATGAGAAGGTCGAGGCTGAGAAGTGGAAGCTTTATTCAGGCAGAGCCCGTGGACCCGCCTACTGTTGGAAGCTGGTCCGTTCGACTCCAGGTAGAGCGCACATGAGGAAAGAGCATGCTCAATGGTGGGGCCTAACAAGTACTCGGGTGATAACCTATGCGTCGCTGAAGCACACCGGTTCCGACCTTGAAAAGGCAGCTCAGTGTGTTGTGAAGGCGCACAAACTGATCGAGCGAGCAGTTAGACGGAGTGGACGACGAGACTTATTTCGGCAAGAGGCAGGACCCCCAGGAGATCTTCGTGTGGAAGGGAATGGTCGCCAACCTGGATGCTGTTTCTGAGGAGATGTTACCTGAATTGCTGGAGAGAACTCGCAGGCGGGATGATTTCTCTAATGCTCGGGCCGCGCTGGCCTCCAGGTCCTCCTTAACGAAATGGGTCCAGGACATGCGGGCCAAGCAGCCTGGGGCCGTTCACCGCCACGTGAAACCCGCGCCTTCCCCAGATTGGGAAAGAAAGAACCCTTGGAGCACGGTCACTTCCGACAACCAGGCAATGCTGCAAGGTCTGGTTATTGAATGGGGAGACATGTGGAAGGACCCCGTCGGCACGCCCCAGGACATCTTGAACATGATGCAGCGTTGTCTGGTTGAGGCGCGCGCTGCACCCTTGCCTCTCATTGCTCTGCTTGATCTGGACGCCGTGCTGCCCAAGATGCTAGCCAAGAAGGCAAAGGGAGTAGACGCGCTGAGCCCGCTGGACATACAGCGCCAGCCTGATCAGGTTCGCCAGGCCTCTGTCGACAACTTGAATGCGATAGAGTCTGCTGGAGTCTGGCCCACGGCTATCAGCACAGTTCTGGGCGCTGCTATTCCGAAGGGGTCTGAAGGTTGCAGAGAGCTCGGCTTAGTCCCGATGGCGCAGAAGGTTTGGCCCAAGATACGTGCGAAAGCTTCGGGAGAGTGGTCGGCGTCGCTGTCTGCATATTGGGATACTGCGGTAGCTGGATATTCGGCGCTGCGCGCTTCGTTGATTCTGGCAGTGATGGATGAAGGTGCGCACGGATTGTCTTTCGGACACGCGACAGTTTTCCTCGACCTCACGAAGTTTGATGATACGGTGAGCTTTGTCTTGTTAATGCAAGCTGGCTTGAACATTGGATTTCCACCCAGTATAATACTGCTGGAGACTGGTCTGCACTATGCCCCTCAGCTCCTGGAGAAAGGCCAGATGATCCCGGATGCGATCGATGTCACCAGGTCAGTCGTTGCTGGATCTGGGCATGGTGTTCCTTCTTGGCCAAGGTGATGCTTCACAGGCTGCTGGACTCCGCGCGCCGCGCGGTGCCCCCCGCGGGCTCGTGGAGCTACATCGACGACGTCGCTGGCAGAGCGCAGGGGCCAAAGCAGAAGGTCATCACCGACCTGGAGGCCGCGGCAGAGGATATGGCGGCAGGTTTGGCTCAGTTGCGCTTGCAGATATCTTCTAAGACCAAGCTGGTGGCAACCTGTGATGAGATCGGGATGGGGCTACAGAAGAGGCTGAGGAAGAAAGGCGCCCCTGTGGAATATGCACGTTCGACTGTAGACCTTGGTTCAGACGCCACGGCTTCACGCGGGCGGATGACGGCCAGAATGATGAAACGACGTGCTCAAGCTGGACGGCGGCAGAAGAAAGTGATGCAGGTTCGACGTCTACGCCGCCGTCAAGGAACACTGGAGTCTATCCTGCATCAGTGTTCGGCCATCAGATCATGGGGGCCCCTCCTACGACGCTGTAGGCTATGAGACGCGACGCGGCTGCTGCCGTGGCGGGCACCAAGAGAGGCAGATGCTTGACGACGGTGCTCTAGGCGGTCTATGGCACGGCTGATCCAGGAGTTGATCTCAAGATGCAGTTGATTCGCGAATGGTTCGCCTTGTGGCTTGCCCAGCCGCGCCTGCACCCCAGGATCAAGAAGGCTTGGCCCTCGGTGCTGGCGAAGCTCGAGCAGGGTACAGCCATTCGCTGGAATGACGTTCGGGGACCGATCGCGGCCTGCAGACGACGATGATCCAGGTCGGGCGGAATCCACAGTCTCCGCCGGCGTGATCTCGCCCGCTCTCGGACGGCACGGTTGACGATTGGTTCTTCCCCAGCTTTGGCCATGAGCAGTTCGGCACAGCAGTGATGGCGCACTTCGATGATATCATGATTGGCGCTTTCATGGATGATCGCATTGTACAGCAGTGGCAGGCAGCTTCTCAGCACGTCGCAGGCGTGGACCTGGTTGCCGGAGCCGACATGACGACGGTGCGCATCGAGCTGAATCGCTGCGCCAAGCGCGCGCAGTTTGAGGAGTGGCCCGCCGACCTTGCAGCCGCGGGGGGCGGCCAGCGGACACGCGAAAGGCAGGTCGCCGCAGGCGGGCCCCCCCCGCCCGCGGGCCCCCGCTGCAAAGAGAGGCCCGAGACTTTAGCGCGCCGCATGTGGACGCGCCCCGCCGACCAGGGGCGCGAGGATTTTGACGAGATTGATTTCCTGGTTCCCCAAGCCCTCGAGAGCTTCGATGCGCAGCCTGCGCCGTGGCTCCGCGGGGGGCCCCCGAAGGACCCCGTGGCGCCTATGTGCGTGGAGACCCCCGAGGTGGCCCAGAAGGCCTTTCTTGGGGATGGGAGTGTTTTGGACCGCTGCGTCGCTCCAGGAGGCCCCCCTCGCGACCCGTCGGGGATGACTCTGGGGGCGAGCACAGCGAGGGCCCCGGGAGGAGACGATGCGGCTCGGCGGTTGTCATGAGCCAGGATCGCTCGTCGCCCTGCTGGAGCCTTGTGCGCGGCGCTGCTCAGGCCCTGGTCGGTAGAAAGTAGACGCTGCCGCGCGCTGAACTCCAAGCTTTCTGCTTAGCTCTCGAGAGCTCGCATGGCCCCATCTGCTACGTGACTGGCTGCAAGAGTTTAGTTTCCGATTGGCACTTTGGCCGCGCCAAGTCTCCTCGGGGCCAAAACGGTGACCTTTGGGTCTGTGTCGGGCGTGCTCTGGCGGCCCGTGGCCCTGGGGCTGTTTCTGCGCCGTGGATCCCTTCGCACCGTGAGTAAGAGCTACAGTCCGTGAAAACGGGATTCGAGCTGTTTTTTTAGCCTGGGCAACGCCTGCGCCGACGCGTGGGCGGGCACTGCGGCCCAGTGGGCCTGGGACTGGTGCGCGGCGCCTCCTGCCTCTCGGACGGGCCTCTGGGACGCGACGGCGGCGCTGGTGAGACTCGGAGCTCGGCGCGCGTTGCTTATGGCGCTCGGGGTCGAACCGTGGCCCGGCGAGAGACCACCCAGCGTCGAGCAGCCGCGTAAGCCAACCCGTTTGGACGAGGCTCTGCAGGCTAGCTCCCGCGACGTTGCGCCGTTTGCTGGTCGCTGGAGGTGCAGGCCGTGTAAGAATATTGCCCCGAGGAGCAGGCTGCTCGAAATCGCTTCGACCCGTTGCCGTGATCCGCCCCTCGCCGCGCCGCTGGATTCGGATCAGACGCCGGGGCTACCTCCTTAGCATGGCGAGAGTTTCGAGGCGATCTCGGGGGGGGCGAGCGCGGGCGGGGTGCTCCTGAATCCCAGCCACCGCCTCGCCAAGATGAAGGCCTACGGGCTGTTATTCTGCATGGCGCGTGGACGCGCAGCCACTGCTGATGCGAGGAATCTCGCCGGCGCGCGCCCCCCCCCCCCCCCCCCCCCCCGTCTCGCAAAGGGGGGTGATCTTAAGAGAATTCAAAGAGGTTTGTTTCCTAGCTATCGTGGCCCACCAGCGTCCGCGATGGCGGCCACTGCAGTGGATGCGGCGAGCCGCGCACCCCCTGCTCCTGGAGCCCAGGTGGGGGGATCGCCTGATCAGGGGCCATCGGGGGAGGCGCCCGACCCAATCGACGAGCATTCGAAGGTCTCGTCGGCCCGCCATCCGAGCGAGACGGCGGCCCCTATGTGCGCTGAAGCCGAGGAGGCTCCGTGCCGCGCTGCTGCCGCCCCGCCTGCCGCC